CCTCAGCGGCCGCCGCCGCGACGGCGGGGCCAGTCGAGTTTGACTCAGCACCAACCTATGCCCGGCTGTTCCGCCGCATCCGATACGTCAGCGCTCGCGGGCATGAACGCGGCGCAGCTGCGATGCGCATTGGCGGCACGCAGCCGGCCGCCGCCGCCACCAAACTCCTCTCTGGCGCAGCTGTCCTCGCTGCTGTGTGACGCTGTGGGCCCACGATGCGTGTTCCTGTGCCCTGGATGCCCCAAGACCGTTGCCGAGGAGGAGACGCTGCCGAAGGCCCAAATGCAGGTGATATATATACTACGACATAAGATAGCCGTGTTGATGAAGGGGGCTTTCATATTTATGCTTCGTATTTATGCGCCCAACCTAATGTGTGGTGCAGTTTCTGCAAGCCAGTCGCTGTTTTGAGGGGGGCACATGTTTATGCATATGGCCCGGCATGACAGACAGGTTCTGTTATGTTGGTCAGCAGACGTGTGGTCGTTGCACACGAGTCGCCGCTAATCCCTGCACAGGACGAAGTGCGCAGACGCAGCCATAGCCGTTCGTTCATCACATATGCATACGTGCGCTACTTGGCTTGCCAATTCAGCTGCGCGTTGCACCACATGCCACTCATTGATCGGGATACTCTTTCTGTGTATACCCCAGAAGCGTCGAAATGCTTTGGCTTTACGCCCTATTTCGCCTTGCCTTGGATTAAAGCCCAGCTCAGCCGGTGTGCACCACCGCCGTACAAACGTTTTTGCCGCCGCACACACCTACACCTACAGGAGCTCCAGGCGATGTCGGACCAGGCTTTTAAGGCGTTGAAGCTGCTGCTGCGGATTAGAGCGGTGCTGCTCAGTGTGCATGAAGATGATGAGCAGGGGGACGATGCGGAGTCAAGAGAAGAAGAGGGCGCCGGCAATAATGTCTGTCCTGCAGCCGGTGCGGTCCCCAAGATAGGGGAGAGAAACGGTTCGGGGCCCAACTCTCGAAGCAACAGTGCTCTAGGGGAGGTGCTGTACACTGAATCTGTCAAGCTAGCTGGCAGAAGCAGCGATTGCCTTATGCAGTTAGGTATTGCCTTCCCCTGAGATGAAGAACTCTGCTAGATCCTTACTACCCAGACTACCGTTGCAAAATCTACACTGTTGGTGACTCACGGCCTTACAAATTCCTAATTAGGGCACACGTTCTTGATGTTGGTGGCCACGTGTTGTGGCTGCTGCTGCTGGGTTGCTTTTGCTGAGCTGCCGTAACACGGCCCATAGCTGCCGAATCGTATTTCCTCCGGGTTTGGGTTAATGGACGGCAGACGAGAGTCGACAAGGCTGCTGACGTAAGCAGCTGCAGTCAAAGCGGCCTCCTCTGAACATCGATGCTGTCTGCTACACCCCCCACATCCTGTTGGAAAGGAAAAGCGCGTCATAGAATTCCCCGTTGGGTCGTACTGTCGTACTGCCTCCTCTCACACCCCACACTACGCCTCTGTGTTGTTACTGTATACTGTTCCACTTGTCCGGTGACCAGCACCCCAAACAGCCTAAGAGGGCCACGTCCGTGCAGTGGAATGTAGGCCCCACACAACATGAATCTTTATGCCCCAGTCTTCCCGCAATCCTTCTCCTTCCCTACCTGACCATCACCCAGAAGCTGCTTGGCACCACCTGCAATTCTCATTTTACTTCTACTCCTTCCACTGCTTCCTCAACCAGTTGATATTATTAGTTGGTTAATTAGCCCCTTGTCATCCGAACCGCTGCCAGCACGCAAACGCTGTTACAGCCGGCCCTCCACCCTCTTTTTCGGGTAAGTTATGTCCGTACCTATCCATCCTCTTCCCTGCTGCCCGATGAAGGGTTATCCCTTGGTGAGGGGTTTACCCTTGGTGAAAATACTGCAACTGCTGCAACGCGCCGGTATTGCAGGCGTGGGCAGAGGCCGCGGCGGAGGCCGGGGAGGCCGGAAACGTTGCCGCGGAAGCCAGAAGTCCACCCCCGCGAACACGGCATGGGCCAAGGGTGTGGGTTACGGCGGTGAAACATATTGCGGCATCGGCGGCGGCGGCGGCGGCACCTACAACAAGGACGTCGCTCTGAAAGCCGCGCAGGAGCGGCAAGGCCAGGCGGATGCGGAGGTGTGGAGGGGCGAAGGTTGCAAGGAAGGAGAGCGCGCGGGCTGGAGTGGGGTGGGGTAGGATATCGGAATGAAGATATGTGGGTCACGGCGTATTTGCCGGCGGTAGAGTCTGCATTGCAACAATGTGGGGGGTTATGCTTCGGAGCAGCTTCGGAGCTAACGTCAAAGGTGGCCCTTCGCTGCCGTACGTTCAACCAGAAACTTATGCAAGACAAGACCACGCCTCCTACTAGCCCATGCGGGCCATCGCCTCTACTACGTCAACATACGTCCGCCTAGTCACCCAGCCTCGGGAACTAGTCACGGAACTCCTCCCCCTCCTCTTATTCCCTCTACGGCTGCTGTTCCACAACTTCCACTACTGTTGCCCCAGCCTGATTCCCCCCTCCACACACCCCTCCACGGATCCTTCTTCCACCCAGGTGCGGTCGTGTCTGAAGGAATTGCGGGAAGCCATCCGGCCCAGTGGTGGAACCGGCGGCGGGGGTGGCCAAGGTGCCAGCCGCCTACCGGCACTGACCAGCCCGCCGCCGGTGCTCCACGCTGTCCTGCAGTACGGCGGTCTGCCGTACGTGTTACGGCTGCTGCTCCAGAACGACTCCCTGCTGGATATGGGTCAGCGCCAGGAGATGTACAGGGAGGTGCTGGCAGTTGTGAGGTGGGAGGGGGAGAAGGGAGGGGCTGTAGACGTGTGGAGAGGAATTCAGGGCTTTTCAGGGCTTTTGCCGTTGTATTCCCTCCCGCTCTTTCTCCACGGGGACAGGACACCCTCTTGCCTTCGCGAGAGGTCAATCCCCACCCACCCCCACCCCCCTTGCATGGAAATGCAGTTTGGGGCTTAGGACGTGTCGGTGGTTGATCCGTTGCTTCTAGCGCTGTATGATTCCAGAACCCCGGAAATATGCTACGTCCCCTTCGTCGCAACCCGCAGGTGTTGTTTGAGCTCTATGTCGCTGTTGGAGCTACTGGTGGTGCCTGCTGGTGACCCACGGGACGCTCCCCCACCCTCGGGGATGAGTTCGGCAGCCGCGGGATCGGGCGGGGCGGGTGCAGCGGGCAGCACCGTTGTTGGCAGCTCGGGCTCCGACCCGCCCCTCAGCGCTGTGTTCGATTCCCTGGCCCGGCAGTGCAGCATTTTCAAACGCTCTGCGCAGGTTGGTGGTGTGCCAGTGTGTGCGTGCGCATTTGCTAGGAAGAGGGACATCCGCTTACGTCAAAACGCAAAAAAAAGGATAGGATGCGAGATAGAGTGCAGGTGCGTTCGTGTGCGTGTGCATCATCATCATCATCATCATCATCATCATCATCATCATCATCATCATCATCATCATCATCATCATCATCGTCATCGTGTTGTTTTCCAGTTCCCCATCCCACCCCGTTACAGCCCCTGTCTAAACCCGCTGCCCCCACCTCCATCCCCGCCTCCTCAGGAGCTGGTTGAGGGCGCTGAGGAGGACATCGCCGCACTGGGTCTGGCACTGGAGCTGGGCGCCCTCGCGGAGGAGGTGGCGGCTGGGGCCCGCATGTGGAGGGGCAGCATGGGGGAGGCTCAGGGTGGGCGGAGGGGGGTGGAGGGGGTGAATGGGAAACAGGGGCGCATGTTGGCGGTGGCATGTCTCTCTTGGCCCAGCACGTTTTCGAGCATTAGCTCGGTGCTGGAAAGCGGCCGTAACGTTACCAGTATCATGTACCTCGTACAACAGGTAAAAAGAGGACGCAATGCGGTTCGAAGGGGTGGGGGAAGCGAGCCCCCGGTATTACTCTGTTTAAACCTCATAGCCTGTGCGCCGTGAGGTTTTTGCGTTCCCCAAGAGGTAGCGCCGCGGCCGCCTCCTCCGCCTCCCTGTCGGGTGTTCTCTGCCGCGCTTTCTCAATGGGATAGAGGATCCGTTGGTTACATGGATACGTGGGTACTTGCTTGCAGGAAAATTTAAGCAAGTTAGGGCGTAAGAGCTTTGAGCTTTTCTGGGGGCCACATATCTGTTTCCCTGTCGCCATTTGCAGTAGCAGCAGCAGTAGCAGTTTTCACTCGGTTCGCCTTCCAAGCGGCAGCAGCAGCAGTAATAATAGTAGTATTAGTCGGAGTAAAGGAGCGCACGAACCGTAACTCGACTCAGTTGCCTACCCCACTCTTTCTCCCCCCCCCCCACACACACACATACACACACACCTAGACCCGTGTCGCACAATTCTCCTCTCACCTTTTCAGGAATTCTACAAGCCCTCTTGCAGCTGCAGCCGCCTGCACCAGCTGCACCCGCTGCCGCCACCGGCACCGGATGTGACCTGGGTGCCCCGCTGGCGAGGCCTCGCCGCGTCGGCGCCGCTGCCACGGCCGCCCCCGCTACTGCTGCTGCCGCCGCCGCCGCCGCCAGGCCCGGCTCAGCAGCGTCCGTCCCCACCGCGGATGCGGCTGCTGGGCTGTCTGCCCGGCGGTCCGAGTACTTGTCTGTAATGCGGCCGCTGCAGTTCCGCGAGGTGTCCCTGCTGGGGGACCACTTCTTCCGGTGGGTGGGAAGGGAGACGAGTGGAAGGAGGGGGAAGGAGGATGGGGGGAAAGGTGAGCAGGTTTGCTACAAGGGGAGGCGGTGAGGCGGTGAAGTTGTCGGGTCAGCCGGAGGATGTTTCGCTTCCCTGGCAGTCCCCCCCCTTCCCCCTTCCGGCAGTGGGTGCCTTGGACGTCACCACTTGTATCTTTGACCCCTTGCATCACCATCATCATTAGCAACAGCAGCAGCGTCGTCAAATGATTCCCTCCCCCGCCTCTGCTCCTCTTCTCCCTCTCCCTCCACCTCCTCACCCGCCCGCATCAAGCCAGGCGCGACGCAGAGTCCTCAGGCAGCGGTGCGGGTGGCGACGTGATGCGGCGGCGGTTGAAGCGCATCACTGGGGAGATATCTGGGCTGGCTACCGGGCTGCCGCTGGACTGGGAGGCGGCGGCCTTCGTCGCGGTGGACGATAACCGGGTGGACGTCATCAGGTGAGCCGTGAAGGCGGTGGGGAGGAGGGGAAGGATGTATGTATGTATGCGGCTTTGGGCTGTTCGAGGCTGAGGGGGAGGGGCCTGTGGTGGGAAGGGGAGGGGAGGGGCCTGTGGTGGATGAGGGCTGAAGAGCGGTTGCCGTGCTAGGGCGGGGTTGCATCACCTAGAGTTGTGTGTCTAGGGGATGGTAGGGGGTGGGGATAAAGGTACTGTTGTTTATGCGTCAATGTGTCAAGTCGGGGTTAGGAGTGTAAAGCAGGCGGGAGAGAGAGGGCTGAGAGGGACGGAGAGAAGAAGGGACGAGCTGTGGTTCCCCGCGTCTATAACGTCATAAGGAGCTAAGCTGCCTAACGTTCTAACCGCCTAACTGCCTAACTGTCTAGCTGTTTAACTGGCTGACAGGCTCATGAGGTTTCCAGTTTAGCATCCCATGGTCGTAAGCCGTCTTACTCACCGACACTATGCCGTACCTTCGCAGGGCCCTTGTGTTCCCCGCCTCGGACACGCCGTACGCCAACGGGGCGTTCATCTTCGACATATACTTGCCCCCGGAGTACCCGAACTTGCCGCCCAAGGTGAGTTGAGGATAGGGGCCGGGGCCGAGGGTTGGCAAGGAGGGGGGAGTGTTGGGGGTCAAGGGCTGGGGTTGGACAAGCTTCTGGAGGGGGATGGAGTAGAGGGGTTGCTTAGCAGAGGAGGACGACGGGCTTAGGATTTCTCCCCCTTCCCCAAACCCCCTTCCTCCCTCTTCACCCCCCTTCAACCCCCCTTCAACCCTCCCAACCCCCCTTCAACCCTCCCAACCCCCCTTCAACCCTCCCCACCGGCGCACGAAGGTCCAATTCCTGACCACGGGTGGCGGCCGTGTTCGCTTCAATCCCAACCTGTACGAGGGGGGCAAGGTGTGTTTGTCGCTGCTGGGCACCTGGTCGGGACCCTCCTGGGATCCAGCCATGTCCACAGTGCTGCAGGTGCGGATGCGGATGCGGAGGAGCGGATGGTGGGTGCAATGACAACAATTACAGCGGGGACAGGCAATGACAGGCCAGAAGGAAAAAGAGAGGGGTAAAGAGGGGGGGGGAGCTGCCAGCACATTTCGCGACCACATCTGTATGTGTGTGCGCATGTGGCCTAGGGAGCAGCCGCCGGGGCTTGGGTTGCGGGTGATGAATGTTATGGTGTTACAATTTAAAACTGCGCCACGAGAAGGACTGAGGTACTGGAGGTGTGGCGGATGCCTGCACGTGTGTACGTGGCAAACGGTGGGTGGGATGGAGGAGGTGAGAGGTCGCACGGCCGAAGTGTGCGGCTGCACACCGTATGTGTGTATGTGTGTGTGTCCATGCTTTCCGCTTCCCTCAGCGATCTCTCAATCCTTAAACCCCGCAACGTACTTGACGGATTTCCTCTTCCGTAATACCCTCCCCCCCTTCCCTTCAGGTGTTGGTGAGCATTCAAAGTATGATTCTGGTGTCTGATCCCTACTACAATGAGCCAGGGTGGGAGGTGAGGTGGTGGGAGGCAGGGGGGGTAGCAGCAGTAGAACCAGTGGCAGCAGCAGCAGTAGTGGCAGTAGTAGTGGCAGTTATACTGTTGGCATTGAGTGTAGAAGAAGTTTTAGAAATAGGAGCAGTAGGAGGACGAGGGGAGGAGGCAGCAACCGTATCAGGCACGGAGTCCGTTTCGGGTCGGCCCTGTTGCACGGGAGAATGATCCTGTATCGGGTGGGGTGCTGCCAGCCTGCCTGCCTGCCTGCCTGCCTGCCTGCCTGCCTGCCTGCCGTGCAGCTTCTTGTTCCTTGCGTATGATCCCTCCCTGCCCCCCTGCCTGCCCCCCTCAGTCCGCGGCCAATACAGCCGTGGGGCGCCAGGCCGCCAGCGACTACGCCGACCACATCCGCTACAACACGCTGGCCTTCTCCATCCTGCCTGCACTGCGGATGGTTACGCAGCCGGCGGGGGAGGCGACCACGAGTAGCCCGCTGGCGGGTGGGTACGTGGGTGGGTGGGTGGTTCCGGAGGACGAGGACGAGGAGGAGGAGGAGAGGGGCTCAATGCTGTCGCAACGGAACCCTGGTAGCAAGGTGGCGTTTTCGGGTGTCCGGGTGCGGGCTGGGGGCTGGGCTAAAGATTGGTAGGGAAGGAAGGCTTTGGAATCCACATTTGGGCGATGAGCTTTGTTCCAGACGATTCATACAGTAGAGCTTCACTCTGTGTACTTGTGTGGAGGGTAAAAGGTGGTGCTTCTGCACGTAACCGGTGTATAGTGACGTGCAGCGGCGTCTGCGCCCACAGCCGCCGTCGCTGCTGTCGCTGCACCTCTTGAGGTTTTCTTTGCGTCACGTCCACTGCGCCTCATCGGCACAGCCACCCACCTAACCCACCCACCCCCCGCCTCAACCACCAACCGCCTCTGCTGCTCCTGTCATTGAACACCAGGTCCTCCACCAGGTGTGTGTGTGTGTGTGTGTCTTTTGCAGTGTACATACAGCATCACACAGATCACGTGGCACGCAATCTTCCACTCCCATCCTTGTCATCCCCCTCCTCTTCTACCTTCCTTTTTAACACGCAGGTGGCGCCACGTTTCGAGACGTGCTGACTCAGCATTTTCGGCTCAAGCGTGAGGAGGTGCTGTGCCAATGCGACAAGTGGGCGGCGGGCATGGCGGCCTCTGCCGTGAGGCCCAGCAAACAGCCTGCTACCAGCTTGCGAACCAATCTGGTGGGTATGTTTGGGGGGAGATGCTACGTTTCGTTCGAAAATCTGCAAGTGCTTTACCGATTGATCTTTTGGTGTCACCCCCGAATGGTGGTTTGCTCTGGCGACGTTAGCTATTAGCTCCAGGGCGAGATCATCCCCGTCCGTGTCGCACACTGTTGGGGTGTGGGGTGGGGTGGGACTGGGCGGGCGGGGCTGCTGCGAGAAGGGAGGTTTTTCATTACTGAAAGGGAACACAGACGCAGACAGGAAAAGGATGGGGTCGAGATATGAGTATTTGACGCGAGGTTCTAACGGCCATCGTGCGGGTGCCGTAACATGACGTAACGTTAGTACGGGTTCTGCGTATGACAGCATGCTGTGCTGCCTGCACAGAGCGGCTGACTTCATCCCATTTCCCACATCGACGACACGGTTTTGAAATGAGTCGGGTGTGGGTTGGCAGGGGGCCGGGATACGGATGGTGCTTGTGCACGTGTGCATGCATCATCACCGAGCCTCGTGTGCTGCCAGCCATCTCCTGCTCATCTCCCGCTGAACCCCTGACCCACCTCAATATGGTCTACCGGCTACACAGCAGGAGACGCACCAGTCTATGGCGCAGGTTGTGCCGCAAATCAAGGCGCTGCTTCAGAAACTGTGAGGGAGCGGCGGCAGCAGTTGTGGTGGTAATTCCTAGACGTCCCGAAGGCTGCATCGTCGCCCCGGCCTGCGTCGTCGTGGTGGCTGGAGTCTGCCGGCGGACAAAGGAGGCAAGACCCGACAAGGGCCCGCTGAGGCCATGCTACTTGGCCAAGGCAGACCACTGCACTAATGTCATGTCTCCCGCAGCGATAAAAGCTGATCGACGGACTCGAAGGAACCCCCCAGAAAGGAAACCTCCGTCAAGTCCGCTTTTTTCCATGAGTACACGGCGGCGGCGGCGGTGGCAGGTTCCTGTTTGACACTGACTTATCTGGGGCAAGGGCCAATTAAGCTACACCCGCCTTGCGCCTCTCTTCTCACCCTGGAACTGTCGAAGGGTGACACAGCTGTCCGGGACGCATGCCTTCATGGGTTGTGTTGTGTGGGATCTTTAAGGAGGAGGTGCATTTCACTTCCTATGTCAGTTCCTGTGTAGGGGCTCTATTGCCGCAGCTGGCACCGCCCACCCGCATTGCACTAAAGACCTTGCATTGGCTCTATACCATTGAAACGCCAAGTTCGTTTTGTTAGTTGGCTTGTTGGATGAGGATGGAAGCACAAGAGCAGATGGAGCGTCCCTGCTTGTCGTCTGCTCTTGGCCAGCGTGGGTGGGGTGTTGGGGTCACGAGGCCTTCCTATCCTTATCTTTGCAGATCAGCTACAGATTGACAGCTACAAATTAGCTTAACTGCAATGGGGATATCCACGCCAGCATAATATTCCATGGAGGATCCGGGTAGGTGAAGGCCTTGTGAGCAGCGGGTTTGGATATTTTGCTCCATGTCGGCAGGAGGAGAGGGGGGTTCTGCATGTGTAGGGCATTCGGAGCTCAGCACGACGCACATCGGACAAATGACCTTTGCTGCCGGGTATGCCGCAATGTCAGACGAAGGACGAAGACGCTTAACGGACTGGCTCGCGTCGTTACCACCGGGTTCCTTGACTTCGCAACCATGTCGGGAGAGAGGAGATCATCCTACCGACCTCGCGCTGACGAACGGATTTATGTGTACATGGTGTCGAAATGCTCCCAAGGAATTAGCAATTACTACTGGCCAAGGATTTACAGGTAGGGCCACGTGTCATTACCTGTGGGAAGTTTTTGGTTGCCCAGGTGAAAATGCGCGAGTGGTTGCCTTTTGCCATCGGAGTAAACCGACCGATGAAGCAATGATAGTAAAGAAATCAGACGTACTTGCCTCAGGACTGAGCTTTTTGTCCCAGTCTGTGCGTGTCTGTGTGTACATGGGAGGAAGGGGGAACACAAATGCAAAACCTGATGTCACGTTATACGACCCGCCTGACACATGTGAGGCGGACCGTAGCCCGACCTTCAGAGGCAGTTAGTTTCTTTTTCACACGCCTTCGGCCGTCGCCGTTGGTTGTCTTAATTCGCACGCGAGCAGGTCCGACCCCGTGGCAGCACCTGGTAGATGCACTGGCCGTGTGGATCTGGTCGTGTGGATTTGCAAGCACTGTGCACTCGGCTCACTCGGCCCGTAGCTTTAAATCCTGGAGATGTGTCCCGTAACCATCCATCCGACCCCACTCAACCTGAACGCGCGATACATGAAGGCAGCAACGATAGCTGCATGCACAAAATGCACTCTCATGGACACAAGAGCACACAATTTGTAAGAGGATAGTGTTGGCTGTGCCGTGGGACGAAAAATGCATAGCGTAATGTCGGAAGTTGTACACGCCAGCAGTGCTGCCTTTCCTGTCTACTCGCTGCGTCGCCATGCACCATGAAAGCAGCGAACTTTTCCTCAGTCGCTATCGCCTAAACCTCGCAGAGCGCTGAACAGCGATGCACTCGCTGGAATTGCCCCTGCCTTCGAGCCCTTTGACTTCGACTTCGAACCCGACTTCGACGCGGTCTTCGACTCAGCCGCCTTCGATCTGCCTTTCGACGACTTGCTCTGTGGCTTGGCGGGAACAGCCGTGGCGACCGAGTCGGCCTGGGCCACGCCGTCCTCCCTGAGCCCCGATCCTGACGACTCTGCCCCTGCTCCTCCAATCGCCGCTGCTGCTGCTGCTACTCCAACGTCCGCTGCTCCTGCTCCTACTCCCGTCACTGCTGCTGCCACCGACGCTGCTGATGAAGAACAAGCTGATACTGACTGTGTTGCTATACTAGTATCCACAGATGCCGCAAAGCTCGTCGCACTGTGGGACGATACCGAGCTTGCCTTCACCACCTGCGCCTTCGCTCCATTGTCAATGTCAGGGCCGGGGGTGCTTACAGTACCCAACGGGGTCCCGGTGCTGCAAGCGATGATCAGTGGCTCCGTTGCCGTGTCCCTTGCGGGACACTCTCCAACCGCTCGGGCACCCTCCCGCACACCTCCCTCCTCCAACGCAGGTCCTGAAGATCGGTAGGTAGAGCTGGGCCCCGACACATCTTCCGATCTCCGGCCCCGCTGAGACCTTGCTGCTGTCTTTGACGCTTGCCTATTCAAGCTATGTGGTCTTGGTTGGGCCTGCTGCTGTTCCTGTTCGTGGAGGTCTTGGTCGCGGCTGTGCGCCAAGGACTGTTGATCCTCGCCTGGTGTACCTTCCTTTCTCCGCGACGTCGCCTTCTTTGCCGTGCCCGACTTCGGCGCTGATGATTTCGACGCCACAGCCGACGATGCAGCATCGACGCCACGACCCTCACCACCATGGCTCGGCCCGCAGGTCACCGTCACGTCCTCCACGTCCCGCATTGGCCCGCACGTTGGATGTTGTTGTTGCTGCTGCTGCTCTGGTACTAATGGTGGTGATGGCAGCAGCTGGGATGTCGGCGGCAACGGCTCTCCGATGCGACCCACCATTGCTATCCGAGTGGACGGCACAATGCGTTGCGGCTGGTCTGGGAACTGCGGCTCTGGCAGCACTGAAACCACCTCCAAGTGGCTTGACGGCTATTTCCCGCATACCACAAGCCCGGCATTTATCCAAAGATGTTGATCGTGACAATGATCGCGACCCGGATGCATGGATAATGGGAAGAAGGGGGGTTAGACAGGAGGGGCTCGGGTAAATAGCAGTAGTCACGTGGCGGTCTAGCCCAACCTAGAGAAGAGAATTTTCAACAGGACAAAATTGCAAAGGAATCAAGATTGTTCGGGCTCGAGCAAGACCAAACCCGGGCGAAGGGTTAGAAGGTGCGAGATGGGTGAGCCCGGCGATGATCCAAGGTGTTCGCCACACAGAAGGGTGGACCACCGGTCGGCAGTGGTCATGGGCTACAGGGCAGAATTGTTCCGAACTGGGTTTCAGAGGTCAAACTGAAGCCCAAGACGAGCCCCTCCTTGTCGACTGCCGTAGCCCAGCCTTACCGAAAGTTTCAGCCAGCAGCCCGGCACCACCAGCGCCTGGTGTAGCTTGAAGGACATGAGGGGCGTCGCTAGGTGCTCCTGCCCCGGGGCAACACGCACCTGCACTTCGTCCAGGCAGCAGGTGGCGGACAATGCGTCCAGGAGGTCGACACCAGTAAAACACCGAACGCAAGCAAGCAAGGCTGAATGCGGGCCAATGTGGACTGAGCCGGAGCTGGAGCTCATGCACAGACTAAGGGTTTGACGGAGGTGGCCGAGCACGAGGGTACAGAGACAATGATAAGGAAGAGGATAAGACGACGATATGGAAGAGGAAAAGGAGGAGAAAAAAGGGCAGTAGGTACAGGACACGTACCCGTGCCTCAGCCGCCACGGCGACACCTTGCCCTCGGCAGACCACCACCTCCGCTGCGGGAGTCGTCAGCCCCGTCAGAAACTTCCGCAGTTGCTCCCATCTGCCGCCTGGGGGCGGCAGAACTACTGTCGGGTCCACCAACGCAACCGAGGCGGAAACTGAGCTACGCCGCGAGCTTGAGGCCTGCTGCTGCTGCTGCTGCTGTTGTTTCTGTTTTTGAGGCACTGTTGGTGGTGTCTGAGGTAGTGGTGGCGGCGTCCGTGGTGATGGCGCCTCCGGCAGGGACTGCGTTGACAGCGTGTCCGGACAGGGTTGGCTAGAGAATGGGTTTTCGTCGGGTTCGGGCGCCAGCGCGGATACACAGAGAATCCTCCAGGGATGGCTGGAGCCCTCTTTGGGTTTGCGCACACGATTAGAATGGGAGGAGGGAAAGGGGGAGTAACGGAATGAAGGCTTGCAAAGCGGTGGGCTAAGAGCGGTGCTGGACAGGGCTAGGAGCTCTGTCGTTGTTTATTTGGCAAGGGGGATAAATTTGTTAGATGAGGATGAAGGTACTTGTCGCTCTCGTGATGGCTCCCAATATGAGACGGAAGAGGGTTCCGTACCAGTACAAAGTGCAGCAGCGGTCGGTCAAACGCACCGCAGTAAATGCTAGCAACGACGGGTCTGTGATACGGTATTCCTGCTGCCGTCCAGATGCTGGCGGGGAGGCGGATGCGGCACGAGCCGCGGTCGGTGCTATCGTCGGCGCAGCATGCAAGACGCGCGACTGAGATGGTCGATGCTGAACGGGACATAACGTTTTGAAGGATTGTTACAGTTTCCGATTGTTGATTAAAGATTGAATAACCATAGCATGGGCTTCAGGCGAGGCTAAGTGAGTCCTCGATTTGTAATCCTACAGTCTTATGGATTAATTACAGGGCAAAGAAAATGCATACATAACTTATATCCTCTCCTAAGACAGTACTGAAATTACTCACATTACATAGATATTCGTCTCTACTTGAGTTATCGTGTCGTTGATTCCAACGCCAACTAAGCGAGTCGCTAGGACGTTGGTCCTCTGTTTGAAAGTTGCATATTATGCATAAAAAAGCTATTTGCGTGGACAAATGCAGACGCATTTGATTAGGAAACAACCTGCCTAGAACCCTTGAACGCGCTCTATGAACAGCTTTGCGCAGCAACAGCAGCAACAAATCCGTAGTGCTTACGATGGTGCTCGAACCCAGCAACAGGCACAGCAACAACAGGCGCAGCAGGCACAGCAGCCACAGCAGCAAAACGGGACGAGCGGCACAGGCAGCACCATAGCGACGAGCTCCTCAGTATGGGACAAGTTTGAGAAGGGCGACAAAATCGGTAGGGCCAGCCCCTCGGTTCGGCACTGCCATCCCGGACTCTCAAAGCACCCGCAATCCTCCATCTCCCTGCCTCAATTTCCGTCTCCCATGCCTGTCTGTCATCCCCACACGATCAACCTCCGTCTCGTAAACACAATTTTCGTGAACCCCCCTGGCCGCATTCCACCACAACGGAACAACCCGCCGAACCCCTTTTGCCACCTCCCATTTCAAATCCCCCGCCTCGTCCACCCGCCGCTAGCCGGCCGTGCTTCCGAACAACCCCCCATTTCCCCCGCTGGCTCCCCCACGCCCCTACTCCCAGGCGAGGGCACCTACGGACTGGTGTACCATGCACGCAGCAAGGAGACGGGCGGCCGTTACGCCATCAAGCAGTTCAAAAGCGGCCGGGTGAGGAGGGAAATGAGAAGTGGGACTCCGTGTCTCAGCCCTCTGTCCATCCCGACCTAATCCAGGCGGGTGTAGCAATACTACATCACAGCACGGCGCAGCACAGCACACGGGGACAGCACCGCGGCTGCTGTAGATGTCGCATCCGTCCAATTCCCGTATTTTGTTCCTCGATAATTGTTGCGTCCGGGAATGCAGTGCAGCCCCAGTGCTGCCTACCCGCTGCGTAGGCGCAGCTCTGAACGTCGTGTTCCCACTCCCCAATGGTGTTGGTGATTTTGCTTCCTGAGCCCCCACCTGCCGGGGCTGTGTGCATTTGGTTGTCAGTTCCCGCGTGTTGGCGCTCTGCGTGAGCCGTGTAGACACATCACCGCTCCACAGAGTACCTCGCCTCGTTACCCCACCACCTCATGCTCCACCACTCAACCTTCCCCACGGGGCTCCCCCCCACACGTACACACACGTACACACACGTACACACACGTACACACACGTACACCCGCTTTACACGTGTCGGCACAGTTTACTCTGTGCTTCTTGCATCATACATGATCCCGCCCACTCGCCATGCAACTCCCCGGCCACCCCCCCCCATCCCCGCACCGCCTCCCACCCCACCCCCCAGGAGGGTGACGGCGTATCCCCCACCGCCATTCGGGAGATCATGTTGCTCAGGGAGATGAGCCACCCCAACATAGTCAAGGTGGGGCCTGGGGGTTAGGGCCCTAGGGATGGCGCCGGGCTCGTGGAAGCGGGGTAGGAAACGGCGCTCCGGTGGCAGCATGGCTCAAGCCTATGCATGACGTACAGCATAGGGATGTTTAAGAGCGCGCGATATTGGGTGACAGGCAAAACGCGACGGTATGACACCACACACACACACACACACACCACACACACCGCCTCATGTTGAGGCGAGGGCAGCAACCCACATAGACACACACAGAACGTCACCGCACAGCCCTCGGCCCTCAGCTCATTCCAAATCCTCGCTTGCGCCCTGGCCATCTGCGCCCTCAGAGCCCGTATGTATGGGCTGCTGTTACGATTTCGAAGTGAAGCTCAACGTCAGAAAGTGTAGTACACATACGTATGGGCATTCCTCTGTGGCTTCCAACTGCCTACTCTAACCCTACCAACCTAACAGCCCCGACTGCACTCCCCCCCACACACACCGTCAATTCCCCAGCTGGAGAGCGCGCACATCAACCACAGCGAGCCGTCCCTGTGGTTGGCCTTCGAATACGCTGAGTACGACTTGTACGAAATGATCAAGTTTCACAGGGACAACAAGGACAACCGCCGGGACAACCCTTTCGGTAAGTGACTTGGATCCAACATGGCTTTATGAAATTTGGATCTGAATCCATACCTTGGATTTGAAAACAGTTCTGTTGGATATATATGCCCAACTTGCCTTAGCTCGCTTCCTTCTCTCTTCCCTCTCCCCGTTCCCTCCCCCTCTCTCTCCCCAGGTTTGATGCCACAGTACATCGTCAAGACGGTCATGTGGCACCTGCTCAACGGTCTCAGCTACATGCACCAGCACTGGGTGGTGCACCGGGACCTCAAGGTTGGGAAGGGGGGAGGAGAGGAGGGAAGGAAGGGGTTGCTCGTGCGGATGTGGGTCTGAGGGAGATGGGCGAGGTGGGCCTGGGGACCGGGGGCATGGGGGAGGTGTTCCAAGCAAATAGGCCGTGGTGGGGAGGAGAAAGCGGCGAAGGAAAGGAGGGGGGGAGTTTACTGTACAAGTGTGTTTGAAGAGCTGGGGCGTGCCGGCTGGGGCTCAGCAGGTGTGTGGGGAGGCTCCAGGCCAGAGCGTATGTGTCCGTAAGGGGTTCCGTCCGCCAGGGGCGGGAGAGGCAAAGACACCGTCCGGAATGGGGAGGCTGGCGCGGGGACTGCCAGGTCACCCTTTCGACTTAAGAAAAACCCGTTTTGTCTGTAGCGACCTCTCTGTACGGTCCTCCCCATTCACTGTTCTCTTCCGGCCCCCTTCCCCACTTTATCCCTCCCTCACCTTGGACCCGAGGGCACCAGCGCTTTGTCATACAATTTGTATAATCGCATGTTCGCCCTCCACTCGCTTTGCCCCCCTTAACCCCCGCCCCCGCCCCGCCTCCTCTTTCAGCCCTCCAACGTGTTGGTGATGGGCGAGGACCCCGCAGTGGCCCCCAGCCAACATGGCTGTGTCAAGATTGCGGACTTCGGGCTGGCCAGGATATTCCAGGTGCGAGGGGGAGGCCGGGGGGAGGGCGGACCGCGGGGATACGTGGGGGGGAGATGTGTGCTCTAACCCTGGGACGGTCCAGGACGAGCTGCACGCACGCAACTTAATCTCCAAGCCTACCCTGCGTACCGCCTCTGTGTACGTCTTGGTGCGTTCTTCTTTTCCTTCACCCTTCTCCGATCTGGCCCCACCTCACCCCACCACCCCGTCTATCTTTGGTACCTGCTCCATTCGCCAGTGGTCCATCTTACACCCCACCCCACCCCACCCCACCCCCTGCACTGCACTGCATAGGCCCCTGCGCGGCCCCTCTCGGACAACGGCGTGGTGGTCACCATTTGGTACCGGTGAGCATAGCTGAGGGTGCAGCTGAGGGGGCGTGGGAGCGGTAATGGGGGACCCTGGGTGTGGAGGTGCGTAAGCGTGTGTGTATGTTGTTACAGTGTGGTTAACTTCACCAGCGGCCCCCTTTCCCGGGGCTCTCCCCTGCTAGAGGGGCACCCTAATCCGTTACCCCATCCGACCTCAGAATGTATTCGTTGGGTTCGGCAACTCACCACCAGCATCCAACCAAATCTAGCGGATCAACGGCGCATCAACTTAGTTCCTGGTCAGCTAGCAAGTTGATTTTATCACGTCCTACATCGTCCATAGGATGGGGGGTCACCTCCCATTTCAACACTCCTCAAACACCCGTGGAGCCGGCAGGCGGATTTGAACCCGGGTCGACCGGGAGCAGAAGTCAGGCCTTAACCTCTGCCAGCCGCCTGCGTGTGTGTATGCATGTGTAAAGATGCGTCAGGTAGAGGCCGCAGCCCAGGGGAGTGGTGGCTCGCATCGGGTTGAACACGGCCTCATTCTCCTCCTGCGATCTTCCCGGGTGGGCCCCTCGGCGCATGTGTGCCACTGGTCGGTTTGCGTCCTAGCAGCTAGCCAGCCGGCTAGCCCGTCCGTCCGTCCGTCCTCGGTCAGACCGTCATCCTCCTTTCTCCTCCTGGACCTCCCCTGTACTCCGGGGCCCTCCTGCCGCCCCACGTTCTCGTCCGACTACCCGTGGGAACCTCACGTCCTTCTCCTCCGCGTACTACCTACTTACCCAGTCTGCCCCTTCCGACTCAGCTTTTATCTCTCCTGCCACATCGGCTTCCTTGCTCATGTGTCCCATGCCCTGGTTCTGGCCCCGGTCCGGGACCCCGGTCTGTTTCCCCCTGCCCCAACCCCGCCCTCGCCCCCGGGATCAGCGCCCCCGAGCTGCTGCTTGGTGCCCGCCACTACACTCGCGCGGTGGATGTGTGGGCGGCCGGGTGCATCTTTGCGGAGCTGCTCACACTTAAGCCGCTGTTCCAGGTAGGCCAGGGCTAAACTGGTTCCTGTATACGGGGTTTCTCTACCGCAACCCAAGGTGTACTATACCCAAACCCGCCTACAGCTCCGCGCCGGTCGCAGCTGAGGTTTACTTCTGTGGGGTTCGGGCTAATCTCATAGCTGCATCTCATCTTTCTACGGCATGCGCTAGGAGCAGCAGCAGTCCCAGTAGTGCTGTCGCCGTGCTGCGAACTTTGATGCCCCGTTCAACCCTTCTGGACCCGACCCCCTTCCCCCGTCCCACTGCCCCCTCAGGGCCAGGAGCGCAAGACGCCGGGCAATGTGCTGCAAGCGGACCAACTGGACAAGTGAGGCAGAGCAAAGGGGGGAGAGGCCGCGGTAGCATGTCAGGAGGGTGGGGGCAAAAGGGCAAGGGGTTAGAAAAGACGGGTTTGGGGGAGGGACCAGGCTAAAACGGGCAGGGTGGCGGCGGTGGGGCCGTGGAGGATGTGGTGGGGCGTTCTTATAGTGCGACTTGGGTCCTCAAGGCTTCCCTTCTTAGGGGCAGAGGAGGGCCGCCTTGCCTCGCGTTCGCTTTTGCCGACGGTTTGCTGCCTGTCGCGTCATTTACATGCCCGTCTACCCTCCTTTCCTCCCACCCCCCCACCCCCGTACTAACGGACAGCTACTTCATTGCTGTGGACCCACTTGGTCATTCCCGCCCACCTCTTCCTTGTTCTGGCCCTCCCTTGGCCCCTCTGTTGAACACCGCCACCCTACTTTCAGACATGTACGCGCACTTCTTTCCTCCTCCCCTTCGTCCCTCTTTCCTTCATCCCCATCCCTCCTCCCTCCCTCTCTCCCCCCTTCCCCCGTCCCTGCGTGCTAGGATCTTCCGTGTGTTGGGTCACCCGGGTATCAAGACCTGGCCCGAGCTGGAGGTGCTGCCCCACTGGGTGGACAACACGGACAACGTGAGAGTGAGGCGGCCCGAGTGGGGCGGTACGGGACTGCACAGTGCGATACTGGAGGCCATGCGGGTGGCGGCACCCGGCTGGGCGCAGGGACACGTGCCGCAGGTAAGGGATGGGTGGTGGTGGTGGGGAAATGCGGGTAGGTGGGCGGAATAAGGAGAAGGCAAGCAGGCGGAAATCGCGAGATCCGAGCGCGAAGTGAAGCGTGATGGTGATGATGGTGGTGCGGAGTAGGAGCTGGCGGAGAGATGACGAGGAAGTAAAAGTGAACACAGACGGGCTGGGTTGGGGACGGGGTATGAGGCCGAACGGGTGGAGAAGTGCAAAGCGCAAAGCTGCTCATGCTTTCCAAGCAGCCAAACATGGCAGGGACGACGGCAGCTGTGTGGGGGTTTGAACAGCCGCGGGGCCGTTGGCTTTCGTGCTGGTGTTGGGCCTTATTTAGTAATGCTGTACATCAGGACCTAACTGTCCCCCAGTCGGATAGGTGACACAGCAGACGACAGCAGCTGGGTCCTACCGGGATGTCCCTTCTGAACCAATCTCTTGAAGTTTGAATATGCGGTTTTTACCTCCTATCCCCCTATGGCCGCCGTGGGAGGGTTTCCCTCCCTCCCTCCCTCCCTTCCTCCTCCCCTCCTCCTCTCTTGCCCTGGCAGCAGCTTCAATCGTGTGTGGTTCGTCTTTCCCTCCTCCTCTCCCTCCCTTCCTCCCTCCAGCGCCTGCAGTTGACTACTCCTTGCTTTTTGCCACTTAGATTCGTGCCTCCCTCCCTCCCACCGTTTAGGAGTGTGTTCCCCCCCGGGAGGCTATCGACCTGATGTCCCGCATGCTGGACTACAACCCCTCCAGTCGGGCCACTGCGGAAGAGGCGCTGAGGCACGAGTGGTTCAGAACGGAACCCAAACCCGGACCCAACGTGTTTAGGATGCAGGTGGGGTCATGGAACGGGAATGGGCATGGACCTGGCGGGTCGTGCTGGGCATGACTGTCAGCTGGCTAGCTAGCTGCAGTGAGTAGGTGGGCCACTTTGCCTGTCCTTTCAGCCTGTAAGCTAAGAACGTTGACATGATGCGATACCTGACCCTATGGAAGGTCTACCCTCTTGCTCCTTTTGCCCTGTACGGTTGAAACTTTCCTTGGCTGTTACCCGCCGGCCCACCCGGCGTATTGGGGCGTGCGGCTGGCCAGGGCGCCGCCGCGCCGCTGGTGCGTTACCCTCGCCGGCCCATGACGCTTGATCGGATTCCCCCGGTGGCTGCGGCGGCTGCGGTGGGGGCCCCGGGAGCTCAGCCATATCCGGATGGGGCCCTGCCCGGGCCGCCCGGGCCGCCGGCTGGTGGATCTCGCGGGCTGGGGCTGGGGGGCGGCATGCCTCGCGGTTCATCTCAGGCGGCGGCGATGCTGGCGGCACAACAAGGGCCACAGGGGAAGCGGCGGCGGATGGAGAACGTGCCTGGGTTCCGGTGAAGGAAATGGCAAGGCGGGAGAAAGGGATGATGAGCAGCTGGTAGGATAAGGGACATAGGTTGATGTCGGGACAAAGTGAGGGTGTATGGTTGGTTGTAAGGATGGCATGGACAGGTGCGGCGCAACAGCCTGGGGAAACGTTCAGGACGGGGCGCGCATTTCTTCAAGTGGGCTGGATGTGAACGGGTTTGTGCCATAATGTGATGATTTCATTGGGGGCTGTGCGGAGTGAGGAAGGACAGGGTGAAGCCTCTGTTGACTTCCGGCCAGAACACTAACGGCTGTACGACAGATAAGATGGAATGTTTGGTATAAAGGAGATGATGTTCTGACTGAAAGCTTGTTCTGTGATACCTGTAACGGTTAAGGTTGGCTTTACCTACACAGTTCCACTCGCCTATATCTTAACAGGTTATGAGCCCCGCGCCGCCGCGGCAAGCGAGCGAGCGTTTTGCTTAAGTACTGTGTCCGAACTTGCTGGCTTAGCAACTCTCTGGCTTAGAGATAGGACGAGTATGGGGAAAGACAATGATGTAGAGCGATTAGATAGCTACGCCAACTATTTTCGCTGGCGGACGGCCATGAAGTACTGTTTGGCCGGCAAGGACTTGTGGGACGAGGCAGCAGACCTGCCGAGCGCCGTCGCCGACAAGTCCATGAAGGCAAAATCGCAGCTGGTGAAATATACGGTGCCCCGTTTTCACAGGCTGATCGATCAAGCAGCCGACTCTGCCGCAGCGTGGGATGCGATCCGCGCCGAATGCGTGTCTGAGATCGGAGCGAACATTTTGTTCATAAAGCAGAAATTTAGCAACCTGAAGCAACGGACAGGCCAGTCCGTTGTTGATTACTTCGAGGAAGCAGAGGATCTGCGCGAGCAAATGGTTGCAGTAGGCTCGAAGACCGACGACTGCCAATTCGCCCTGGCTATCTTGGGTGGTTTGCATAAGAAATTCCAAATGCAGCAGACGCTTTTTGCTGCCAAGCCGCCAAGCGACATGAAGCTTTCGGAAATCAAGGCCGCTCTACTCCTGGCGGAGCGGATGCAAGGTGACAACAACGCAGAGTGGGCCCAGGTCGAGGCCCTGGCGTTTAGCAACCGGAGCAGTGGGGTAGGCCACCGTGGCTTCGGTGGCGACTACCGTAGTGGAGCTGGTAAAGGCCAGGGAAATGTCAACGTCGGGGCGAGTACCAGCTCTGGCGGGCCTGATGTTTCCATCAACCCCTACGCAACCCATAAGTGCCATAAATGTGGTGTCCTGGGGCATATCAAGTCTCAGTGCCCGCTCGTCACAAGAGGCAACAACAGGGGCAACAACCGACGCAGCAAGCAGCTGGTAATGGCCCTAACCACCTCCACCACCTCCGAAGCCAAGGAAATCCAGGCAACAGCTGAGAAGTCGCTCGCCAAGCTGGCTTGGAAAGTGGACTCGGCCGCGGCCGTCCATGTTACGGACGACCGGTCGGACTTCAGCGAGTACGTACCGCTCACGGACGGCATAGTCCTAGAAGGTGTGGCGGGTGCGATTTGCAAGACGGTTGGAGTGGGTACCGTCCTGCTAGATGCAGAGGGAGACAATGGCAAGATTAAGATTACCCTAAAGAATGTGTATCATGCGCCGGGATTAGGTCACAAGCTGATTTCGGTAGGCGAACTAGGTCTGAAGGGTTACCACGTGGATTTTCGTGGGCCGGTTGCTGTGATTAGGCGGCCGAAACGTCTTGTCAGCCTAGGCCCGCGGATAAGGAAATACGCAAGCCTGGAGTGGGAGTACGGGGAGCAAATCCCGTGTGTGCGGGTGGGCACCCATTACTACCTAAAGGCGACCCGTTTGGGCCAGGGGGAGAGTGTTCAAACCCTGGCGGTCTTGTCTGAATCTGCGGAGCTTTGGCATCGTAGGTTCGGACACATAGGGTACGGTAATTTAGAGAAGCTCGTGTCTGATGAAATGGTCACTGGTATGGGCCTGAGCGCGGCTGAAATCCGGGAGAAGGTGAAGGAGAAGAGTATCTGTGAGCCGTGTGTGAAGGCCAAGCATACCCGCGCGTCTTTTCCTCCGTCCGGGAATGCAGCAAACCGTGTTTTGCAGCGAGTGCATATGGATGTGTGTGAGATGCCTGTTCCGTCTATGGGCGGGTCAAGGTATGTCGCCACGTTTCTGGATGAGCATTCGAGTTTTGCAGTGGTGCGCTGTGTAGGGACGAAGGGAGAAGTTCCGGAAGCGGCCCAGGAAGTATTGCAGCTGTTAGAGACCCAATCGGGCAAGAAGCTGCTAGCAGTTCAGTCGGATCGCGGTGGGGAGTATTTGAATAAGGCTCTAGGACAGTACCTTAAGGGTAAGGGGGTCCAGCATGACACGTCCGTGCCGTACACTCCTGAGCAAAATGGCCGCGCTGAGAGGCTGAACCGCACACTCCTAGAGAAGACCCGCGCGATGTTACAAGACTCAGGATTACCGCACGAACTATGGGCCGAAGCTATCACCACTGCATGTGCCCTGTATAATTGTTCGCCTGTGTCGGGCAAACAGATAACGCCCTTTGAAGTTTTCCACCGCGTGAAGCCAGATGTCTCTGATTTGCGCGTGTTTGGGTGTACTGCGTGGGTGCATGTCGAGAGGAGGCACCGCAATAAGCTCGATGCCACGAGCCAGAAGGGTGTGTTGGTGGGCTACGAACGCAACTGCAAAGGATACCGGATTTTATTAGACGGGTCTAAGCGTATCGTAGTGAGCAGGAGCGTGCTTTTTGAGGAAACGCCAACGTCCCGCACGCTGCCTGCGGATGATAGCGAAAGCAGCGGCAGCGGAAGCGATAGTGATGATGAGGACGATGTGGCTAGCAGTAGTTGCAAGACTGCAGCCCCTCCCCGGCAGGGGGAGCAGTTTAGTCCGAGTGAGGCCGTAGAGGATAGTCAAGGGAACGCGGCGATTGGAGATTCAGCTGAGTTGAATGAGGGGGAGCCTAGGGTAGTTGGCGCAGTACCTGAGGCACCTGAGGAGGAACCCACGGCTACCGGCGGTGCAGCCGATTCCGCCAAAGGGATGCCTAAGACTACCAGCGGGACCACTAAGGGGAAACCTAAAGCTGTCGGTAAGGCAGCTGAGGGGGAGGATAAGGCTGGTGCAGCTGCCTCTACACAACATCGTTACCCCCAACGTGACCGTCATCCGCCCCAGCGACTCAACCTTGCTGTTAACGTATCGGACGTCAAAATCCCGAGCACCTACGAGGAAGCGATGGCCTCTCCGGAACGGGACAAATGGCAGGAGGCGATGGCCGAAGAAATCGGATCTATCCACGCATTAGATACGTGGGAGCTGAAGGTACCGCCGCCTGGGGTGAAACCGATTCCGGTGAAGTGGGTGTACGACGTGAAGCGGGGTGTAGACGGACAAGTGGAACGATACAAAGCCCGGTTGGTAGCAAAGGGCTATAAGCAGAAG